AGTCTTGAAAGATATGTTTTAAAAACTATTGTTTTAGTTATTTATCAAACCACGAAACGAGAGCCATAAAAAAATGAATCGCGAAGTGAATTATCGAAAAAAAGAACGACTACACTACGCTACGATTGACGTTAGCTTAAACACAAGATATTAAGGCAAAAGAAAAGAACTAGGGGAACTAGTGCTATTTAGAAAAGAACTAGAGAATATTCCTTTTTAGAATCTAACTTTTTCAAATTTAAACCGCGGTCAGGGCCCAGAAGTGGCTCATTCCTTTTGCAAATTCCCTTTGCTTCCAATGCCTCTTTATCAAATTCATTTCCCGTTAGAGCCGCTAGATTATGGAACTTGCTCCCAAACGACATACGAGAAATTCAGTCGCTTTTCATATTCAAGAAACGTATCGATGCTTTAGATCTAGTGGCTCTTTGCCGTAAGTAATTGGCTTATTGATTTCAGTATGTATTGTATGATTAAGTATCACTGCGCATTTCTCTATGATTTCTTTCACTTTATCGTTTGAATAAAGTATTATTATTATTATTATAACTATTCAAACGAACTAGCAAACAATAACTATTCCCAAAACAAAAGTACAAAAAAATAGAGCAATTCAAAAGAAAATAAGGCTAAAATTAGACAATGAGAAGACAATGAAAAGCTAAACCTTCTACCGTGATCCATTTCCCATTCCACGATCATTTTCGACTATTCTCGAATCAGTAGAACTTCAAAATTCATCTCAAATTTCATCCTTTACCCATTCTGAATTCACATTTCCTCATTTTTTTTTCTCAAAGAAACGCTGATTGGCGGCTGGAAAAGGCAAAACTCTCACAAAAATTGAGTTTTCTTTTCTCTCTTTTTTTTCTTTTCTTTCTTTTTTTTCTTTTTCCAACTTTTCACCTGTTTTCTCACTTTCACGTAATCAAATAATTTTCCCATTTTTTCTTTCTTAACAAACTAAAGCTTCGATTATTTTTAGAAAACTCTTAAAGTTATAGGCAAAATTTTGAAACTGTTTCTGAATCTGAAACTCTTTTTGAATCTCTTTTTGAATCTCTTTTTGAATCTCTTTTTAAATCTCTTTCTAAATCTCTTTTTGAATCTCTTTCTGAATCTCTTTTTAAATCTCTTTCTGAATCTCTTTATGAATCTCTTTTTGAATCTCTTTCTGAATCTCTTTCTATTCTAATTTTCACTTTCTATTGCTCTTTCTATTTGAATCTCCAGAGATTTTAAAAAATTCTTTCAATTTCTTAGAATAATTTATGAAAAATTTTGTCTTGTAAAGAGGAAATAAGTTTTTTTTTGATCAAATTGTAACAAAAATTTTGCGAATTTTTGATGAATCTAGAATTTTCGGAATAATTACCCGGTTAAACCTGGTTTTTTCGTTTTTCTCTTGGCAGCAAAGTTTTCTATTGATTTGGAATGTTCAGTTTTGTCTTCTCAGTAGATTATTAGTTAGAAATTGAGTTTTCAACCAATAGAACAGTAATAGATAAGGTTTAGTTACCAAAGTCGAGCTCTAGTTGAACCTTTGATCCCTTTGGTAGTTCCTATTGAACGAAAAACTTTAAGCGGTTCCAATCTATTCATTTTCGTGTACTTACATACCGTAAATACTGTAATATTACCCACCCCCTTCGTACAGTCGCGTAGTCGCAAAAGTTTTTTAGTATTTCATTTTTTTCAAAGCGCCCGTACTTTCAAAAAATGCGTCTTTGGTATCAAAAAATAGCCCTGAATTTCAGCTATTTTTTGACACCTAAGCGCGCATTGTAGCATAAACCAGTGTCGAGAAACACTCGTTCAAAGCTAGACTACGCAACGCTCCGCAACGTCATTATGGGGATGGGGTACTATTACAGTATTTACGGCATATACGTCGCAGCCGATTATGAATGAGTGGATCTAGGAGCGTCCAATCATCAATGTCCAATTTGAGGATTCGGAGGCGGACAGATTAGTTTTGGTGAAGGGAGAGGGAAGGGGGTTTTGTAAAAGCCTTGCGCCAGACGACGAGCGATTACGCGGCCGCACAAAGAGCACAAAGAATTTCAGGTATTTTTTGATACCTAAGCGCGCATTGTAGCATAAACCAGTGTCGAAAAAAACTCTTCAAAGCTAGACTACGCAACGCTCCGCATCGTCATTATGGGGATGGGGTACTATTACAGTATTTACGGTAGCTAAATATGGCTCAAACGATCATTAGATAAAGCCAAAAGCCATCGTTTTTCATAATTTCAAATTCCGATTTCCTTTTTTGACTCAAAATTTTCCCTTTCACTTTTCGTCGATTTCTCTTCTCATCAACTTTTTCTTGCTTTCGAATTGCTCGCCGAATTCTCGAGATATCAAAAATGTGTCCCGAAAAACGAAAGAAATTAATTGAAAATGAATTTTTTAGGGTGGTTTTGTCTTCGTCAAGCTATCCATTGATTATTTTATTTTTGAATGTTCTTTTGAAGTCTATTCATTGAAATTCGATTCTATTTTTTTTCTTCAAATATTCATTTCCACTAAAACTCTACTGGGAATTGCATAAAAGAAGAAAAGAAAAAGGATTCTTTTCTAAAAATCTCTAATTATTTGATTTTTGTAAAAGGTGAGCTTTTGGAGTTTCTGAAAAATTTCTCTCTAATCATTTTCTGAATCGATTTTGAGACTGATGAGGCAATTACAGTAAACGAAGTTGATTGAAGATTTATAGAATTAAATCTAAACATAATAGCCTATCTTTCAATTCCTGTATAAGTTAATACACTGGTTTATTTACTTATTGTTTTAAAAAATTGCTCTTTTCCGTTATCCGGGCTTTTGACGGGCATTGAAAGGGGTCATAGATAATACCGAATTTTCTCTAATAGTAGTGAGCGTCTGAGCTGAGTTTGAGCGTCGCCTAGATTCCTCGAAATCTCGAGAACCGCTTATCAGAACCTATCGATGTGGGGTCGGAAAATGTAGCTGACGACGAGATCTAGGGGGGATTTGAGTGTTGAGCTTCTGCAAAAGCTTGGAAACCGTAAAATAGTCACCAACTCGGCTCGCCGGGGTGCACTACTAAGGTGCGTTGCAAAATGATAGGACCATCCCAAAGTTTTACATATTTTTGGCTATGAAATTTAATAACGCTTTTAGATCCTAGAAATCTATACAAAAATAGGCATTTTTAACGTTATCTGAACAAATTGCAACAAAATTATAATAATTTCTTTGTTTAACACCTGTTGCAAAATGATAGGACCACATAAAAAATAAACAAAAGAAAAACGAATGAAAAGTTCATTAATAATCAATAGATGCTCGCTTTTTCTCGCTTCCTCGCTCGATGATGTCTAGTAGTCGACTTTTCATCGAGTTCACTATGTTTTGAAGCGTTTGTGATGGAATTGACGTCCAAGCTTGCAAAATTGCTTTTTTTGAGTTGCGAAATCGTGTCATAAGTCTCTCCATTAGCATAAATATTCCTCACGAGGATGCCCCATAAGTTTTCCATTGGGTTTAAGTTCGGTGAACAGGCAGGCTATTCGAGAAAATCGATGTTGTGACGTTCCAGAAAAGCTTTAGTGTATTGGCTGACATGAATTGAAGCATTATCCGGTTGAAAAATATAGTTTCCCTCGATTTTGTGCTAGGAAAGGAAGCAGTCGATCCGTAAGGACGTTCTGGTAATCGTTCGAGTTCATGCGGCAATTCACAAATTCTAACTCAAGAACGTCATCCACCTTGAAAGCGCCCCATATTATCAGTGATCCTCCTCCGAAGTTTCGACGCCCACAAAGCATTGGATCTTTTCTCAAATCGTGCCAATAGTACTTGTTGCCGTCGAGACCATCCAAATTAAATTTTTTCTCATCGCTGAAGATGAACTACAAAGAAAAAATAGTTAACAACTCAAGGCAAAAAGTTTACTTTTTTCCAATCGATGGTGATGTGATCCCCAGCCCAAGACATCCTTTTCTCTTTGTGTGCCGGCTTCAGTTTTGGTGCTTTCTTCATGATTGCTCTTTTGATGTAACGGATGTAACACTTGATGGCTCGAGAAAGAGTGCTTTTGTGGACGGGAGCTCCAATTTGTACCTTGACGTCCTGTAGCGACATCACCGAATTCGACGTCCCATATGCCGTTCAGCGTGGACCGTGAGCTTTCGATGACGTCCCGTAGACTTTCTTGGCATACTTGAAAGGATCCATCAAGGAATTTGAGACAACTTGGTGCGAGCGCTTCAGTTTTTTGCGATCTTCCGATTCGACAACTTTCTTCTTTTCAAAATCAAGATTTTCATCTGTTCGATCCGCGAAAGCGATTTTCCACGCCCCATCTTCCTAAAAAATAAAAATTAGCCAAAAAATAAGCAAAAAAAACATGGTTATTACAGGTAGAAAATCAAAAAGAAACGGTCCTATCATTTTGCAACAGGTGTAAAATAAAGAAATGCGTAAAAAATTTGACCTTTTAAAGTAAATTATTTGGCAAACGGTATTTGTGCGTATTTTTGTATATAAAATTCGAATTTAAACATCGTTTGGCATTTTTGGTTATTTAAAATCAAAAATCGCAAAAATCGAGGGTGGCCATTTTGCAAAAATCGAGGGTGGCCATTTTGCAAAAATCGAGGGTGGCCATTTTGCAAAAATCGAGGGTGGCGCTATCATTTTGCAACGCACTGTATTGGAGAAAATACGGTATTACATAGAAAAAGATCATTTCCATATAAGAAAAAAAAGTCAAATTTCCCATGTTCTCCTTTTATTCGTCTTTTGAAAAATTGTCTTTCGTGAGATCGCCGAGAAAATCCCGGAAACATTTTGATCGTTGTCAAGAATAGCCGAAATTTTGAAGTCTAGTTGAAATTTGAATTTATGCTTCTTTAATCTAATCAAAATTTTTTGAATTTGAGATGAAATTTGGTGTGAATTTGCCAAACAAAAAAAATACAGTTAATTCAGAATTTCGTCTTTTCTCTCACCTCTTCATTCACATTTTCGGAATGGGCGCATGTCAGAGCGCCGAAGAGAAACAATTGACGCTGCACAGCAAAGCGATCGACAAAGAAATGATGCAATCACATCTATCACAACAGAAAGTCGTCAAATTGTTGTTGTTAGGTAAGAAATGAAATTTTGGATTAGAAAAAGTCTAGTTTTAACTAAGATTTTTGATTAGAACTTGAAATTTCAGTCTAGACAGTCTAGACAGTCTAGACAGTCTAGACTAGACAGTCTAGACAGTCTAGACAATCTAGACAGTCTAGACAGTCTAGCCTAGACAATCTAGACAGTCTAGACAAGTCAAATCAGGTTAAAGTCAAGTTAAAGTCAAGTTTTTCCACTTAGCTTTCAACTCTTTTAACCTAAAGATCATTTTTTTTCGTTTTTTGAGTTGTAATAGTTTTAGAATAGGTTTTTGACTATAGAAAATCGTTTGGAACAAATTTAGAATCGGTTTCTAGAGCAAAAAAATTAACTAGATTCTAGGTCTGACTTCACCTGGTTAACTAGGGTTTTTGGTTTTGGAAAAAACCCTAATTATTCACATCAATTGAGCTCAATTAGGCTAGACCTTTAACTGAATATCTACAATAAAAAATTCCTTATTCCCTTCTCTTTCTTCCTTTATCTTTCCCCTTGGATTTCCTTTTACTTCTCTCGAAGATCCCGAATAGCTCAGTGGGTTAGAGCAATTGCTCGAAAACCAAAAAGTTCTGCTTCAATCTCCTCTCTAGGAATCTTTCTTCTTTTCTTTACTTTATTTGATTACTTCTCAATTCAATTCAATAACTTTTAGGCGCTGGTGAATGTGGCAAGAGTACAGTGCTCAAGCAGATGAGGTGAGAAATTTGAAAAACAAAAACAATAACAGAACAGATAACAGAGCTCTATAAGCTTTGGGGAAAGCTCTATAGGCTTTGAGATGCTCTATAAGCTTTGAGAAGCTCTATAACCTTTGGGGAAAGCTCTAGAAGCTGCTCTAGAAGCTCTAGAAGCTGCTCTAGAAGCTCTAGAAGCTGCTCTAGAAGCTCTAGAAGCCCTAGAAGCTGCTCTAGAAGCTCTAGAAGCTCTAGAAGCTGCTCTAGAAGCTGCTCTAGAAGCTCTAGAAGCTTTGAGAAGCTCTATAAGCTTTATATGGCTTATAGAGTTTAAAGCTTGGCTTTTAAAAAGTGACATTCTAATCTCTTTCTTTTCAGAATCCTTCACGATCACGGTTTCACAGAGGAGGAAGCACTTCAACAGAAAGGAGTCGTCTACAACAACACCGTTCAAGCGATGGCCACCGTTTTGCGCGCTCTCCCACAACTCAATCTTCAGTTCACCGATCCAGCCAGAGAAGTGGGGAATTGGGAATTGAATTTTTTTTTTGAGCTGGTATTGTAAACTGCTTAAAAACTGCTTAAAATGCACGAAAATCAAGGAAAAAAAAATTATTGGCTTTGAAAGTTTTTTAACAATTTGATGACTAATCTTCATTACTATTTCAAAATTTTAAAATTTCAAAATTTCAAAAATTCTCATTTCCAGGCAGACGCGCGAACTGTGTTAGATGTGCTGAAAGCCGGTCAAGAGTCTGAGCCATTCTCTCCTGAATTGGCGAAAGCTTTAAAAGCACTTTGGGGCGACAAAACGGTTCGCGATGCGTGCCATCGAGGAAACGAGTTTCAGCTCACGGAAAGCGCTCCATAGTAAGCAATCTATAAGCGCAAATCTATTTTCAACGCTAACTCCACCGATTTCAGTTTCCTCGATCAATTGGAGCGAATTTCGTTGCCCGATTACAAGCCCACCGAGCAGGATATCTTGTTGAGTCGGATAAAGACCACTGGGATTGTGGAAGTGAAATTTCAAATGAAAAATGTCGACTTCAGGTGAGACAATGGCAATTTTAGTGTCTATTTTCAAAAGAAAATGTCTATAAATTAAGCAATAAGCAAAAGAATAAGCAGAAAGCTTGAGTAGGTCGAATAGAGAATCGACTTCACTTCACAGCTTCCTAAAGACTTCTAAAGCCTCCTAAAGCCTCCTAAAGCTTCCTAAAGCCTCCTAAAGCTTCCTAAAGCCTCCTAAAGCTTCCTAAAGCCTCCTAAAGCCTCCTAAAGCCACTTAAAGCCTCCTAAAGCTTCCTAAAGCCTCCTAAAGCTTCCTAAAGCCTCCTAAAGCCTCTTAAAGCCTCCTAAAGCTTCCTAAAGCCTCCTAAAGCCTCCTAAAGCTTCCTAAAGCCTCCTAAAGCCTCCTAAAGCCTCTTAAATCCTCCTAAAGCTTCCTAAAGCTTCCTAAATCTTCCTAAAGCATCACTTTAGAGTCTTCGACGTGGGTGGTCAAAGATCGGAGCGTAAAAAATGGATTCATTGCTTTGAAGATGTGAATGCAATCATTTTCATTGCGGCCATTTCTGAATACGATCAAGTTTTATTTGAAGATGAGACAACGGTGAGTGAGACAAATATAAAAAGAGATCCATCGGTGACGCCGGATTTGGTTTATTCGGCATCACAATTCGACACAAAATACTAGTCTATTAACTTAATCCACTCCTACACTCTTAGCTCTCTAATCCTTACTCTTATCGAACGATAGTTTGTTCTGGCGGCGAAGAGAAAGCGAAGAAGGCCTTTGGGGTAATGCGAGAAGCCTATCCAGCCTTCGCCTTCTCCTGGACCATAAACCAGTTCACCGGGAAACGGGATCGAACCCAGATCTTTTCTTCTAGAGACAGCCACACTGACTGAAGCAGACGCCACCATCTGCTTATAACTTGTTATAAGTATTTTGTACTTATAGAATATCTTGTACTCACAGCTGAAAACGCACCTTTCCTGGTGCACTCAATCCTTCATCTTTTGCATCAATTACTACAAGAAAGTTGTGCTTTTAGTGCACTAGGAAAGTGTGTTTACATTTTTAAGTACAAAGTACGCAAAAAGGTAAGTCACGAATGCTTTCCTTTCCAGAACCGAATGATCGAATCAATGCGTTTATTTGAGTCAATTTGCAATTCACGATGGTTCATCAACACCTCAATGATTCTCTTTTTAAATAAAAAAGATCTCTTTGCCGAAAAGATCCCACGGTCGTCCATCAATGTCGCTTTTCCCGAATATAAAGGTACGAACTTTTTAAAATAAATAGTTCTAGAATGGATTAGTCTTATGCTAATCTAGAAATTAGCATATGCTAATTTCTAGATATCATTGTGTAAATCACATTGCATAAAACACTTCAAAAAGTTCTACCAATAAAGATAACAAACAAAAAAAACCCGCTTCAGGCGCTCAAAATTACGACGAAGCTGTCGCTTACATTGAGGAGAAATTCGAGGCGTTGAACGCGAATCCAGAGAAGACGATCTACATGCATCAGGTAGATTCAAGTTTAACTGAAAAGTAGGGATTTGTTTTTAAAGAATTAGATAAACTGGAGACAAAATGACGGTCTACAGACAAGATTACGGTAGACAAGACAGATTACGGTACACGAAAGGCTTCTATTAGAAAACAGTTTAATTTGATCTTTCTTCTTCGAGAGACAGCTTATGGTCTTTCGCTTTTTCTCTTCTTGTGTCCTTTTTCTTGCCTGAGAAATAGAGTGCCTGTAGCTCAGTGGGTAGAGCGTCTGGCTGTAGGGTCGACCGGGCTGTAAGCGAGGTCCTGGTTCGATTCCCGGGGTTTTCACAGTTTCTTTCTTTGTAAAATCAATGTAAAATTTTTAGAATGAAAAACCAAGAACTAAAGTGGGGAAAGGGAAAGGAGAGGATAAACTAAGAGAGATAAAGACAGAGAAAACCAACCCGGGAACTTTCCCAAGTTACCCGCGGGTTACAATATGAGGTATGTGCAAAAAGAAAGGCCTGGAATGGAATCATAAAGAAGGCTACGAGCTGGGATGGCGTAAAAAAGGCCTTTCCGCCGGCAAAAATCAGTGTGCCAGAAATTCGAGAAAAGCCTTGATTTTTTACGAAATTCAAATGGCTGTAACTTTGTGCATTTTGCGGTTTTTGAAAACAGTTTCTGAACGTACATTTTCAGGCCTTTCTTTTTTGCACCTACCTCATATTGTAACTCGCGGGTAACTTGGGAAGGTTCCCTGGTAAGAGATAAAGAGTTCAAACTTTGAACCAAAGAGTCGAAAGGGAAAAAAAGAATAGTGATGAATCGTGAGTAAAAATTTGATTAATCTTTGAGCTAGATTGCTTTTTTATGAAAGAAAAACAAAAGCTAAAATATATAAAATACAGATCCAGCTTTAAAATACTCTCTTCCAGACTTGTGCCACCGACACAAATCAAGTGCAAATGATTCTGGATTCCGTTATCGACATGATCATTCAAGCGAATCTACAAGGTTGTGGCTTGTATTGATCGTTTTCTTTTTTATTGATCATTTTTTGATTTTTCCCTTCATTCTTACCTTTTTACATTCATTTTATCGTTTTTATTCTCAAATCGTTTTATCTCTTTTGTCTTTGCTTTTCTTTGGTCACTCCATTTGAACGAGTTATTCCCGTGTTTTTGATCTCATTTGAATTATTTGAATTGTAAAAGGTTAGGCTTCTGTTTATTGCTCAAATCCTAGTCTCTCTCTCTCTCTCTCTATTCATTTTTGACATTCTAGTCTATCTTCATATCCCTTTTCAAGACTCGGCAAAGAAAAACGGCTGAATTTTCATATGTTGCAAGGAAATTTTCTGTGATTGATTCATTGATACTATTGGAATAAACTAACTTATCAAATTATTTTAAAACCAGCAGTTTAAAACCAACTTTTAAAACCAGCAATTTTCAGCTGAAAACTGCAGCTCAGGCTATGCAGTTTTCAGCTTCTAGTGCAGCTGAAAACTGCAGCTCGGAGAACGGGAAGTTTAACTAAGCGACTTTACGCCCGTCATTATGAGGATAACGTTCTATTAGAGTATTTACGATACTTTAAATGGCATTGGAATGCTGATTGCACGGATTCTAAGGGCGGAAAACCCAAATTCAGTAGACGAAAGACAGAAAAGACTTTGAGATTCAATGGATTTCAGGCGAGAAATTGATTCAACAAGAAAGCACTTCAAATAAAACAAAAAAGCTTCTTCTAAAATGAAAGTGACGTCGATGAAATGAAAATTTGGGTCAAGTTGAACTCGAAATTGACCGTCGTTTTGATGAATGGCTGTGGCCAATCACTTTGCTTTCATAAATAGACAAAACTTTTCAAATGCAACCTTTTTTCAGCTGTGAGATCAATGATAGATCACTGAAATTCTACGGAAAGCCAAAAGACCAAAATTGAGATAAACATTGAAAAATGATTGCATTTCATTCTAAACTCCATATTATTTTTTGAATTATCCAAGTCACTAGCACAAAATTTATAAGTAAAGCACTCCAATTGTTCGTTTAAGTATGCTAAACCCCAAAAATATTTATTCAGCTCCCGGTAAAAAAATTTTGGCATGTGGAGAAGCTTTACGAGGCGCAGAAGTTGGCAATCCTTGTTGGCAATCATTGCTTGGAAGCGGCCGAGCGACCCTTCTTCTAAAAAGCTTGATAACATAACAAAGATACAAACAAATGTGAAACAAACCTCGGACTTTGCGGATTTCGATGACTTGGCTTTGTCGTCCTTGCGCGAACGAGTGCTCTTCACAACACCAGCGGCACGGCGAGTTGATGCCTAAAACAAAAAAGTGAAGTTGGCTTTTAAAAAGAATCAGTTGAAAGTGTCAACGCACCGATTTGGAGCGTCCACGACCGGAACCAGCGCTCTTCAAGACACGACCAGCTCGTTTACCCGAGGCCTTAGCAAAAAAAGTTATGCGAATGAAAATTAAGTAACTCACCGAGCGTCCGCTCTTTGCCGCACGCTTCTTGTTGGAACGAGGGGTGCCCGATGCGGAGCGACGGCGAGTTGAACGAGAACGAGAACGTGATGCGGAGCGACGACGGGTTGAACGAGAACGAGAACGTGAACGTGATGCAGAACCGGCACGCTTGGCAGTGGAACGTTTACGCTTGACGGGAGCCGCCATCACCGAAGCCGAACGAGAGCTTTGACCACCGGCAGAAGATGGAGAGGATGCAGAAGATCCCGAGAAACTTCCAGAATTCTAAATTACAAGATTAAATAAAGAAAAAAGCGCAACGCGTACCTGGGGTCCCGAAGGGCTCGAGTGCATTTGTTTGATCGTACTAGATGGAAGGGGTTTCTAAAGAAACAATTTATAAACCAAAAAAACGGCAAACCAAAAGCTCTTGATCAAGACGGCGAGCTCGAAAGGCTTCGCGAAGGGCTTGATGATGAGATTTGCCAAGGTAGTTGAAGATCGAGGCTCGAGTGCGCGAACGACCCGCACGAGAACGAATAGAGCCAGCACTTGAAGAAGGCTTTGAGCGAGCAATACGACCAGAGCCTGAGCGAGCAATACGACCAGAGCCTGAGCGAACACGAGCCACCTCTGAAAAATGAAAGATTGAATAAAGTAAAAGCTTATAGGTAGATTAGATTCATAGACTATATTCGATACTTAAAAAAGTAATTTAGAGACCTTAGGAAAAGTAACTTCGAAGCTAGAAGTATAACAACATAACAGCGAAGGTACTAGAAGCATAACAACTCGAATTAAAATATTCGTTTGAGTACTACTATGTGTCGGTATGCTATTTTCATTAACTGTTTTTAGAAGCGGTGAATCGACTAAAACACAAACGGTTTGTTTTATTAAAAAGCCCTATCTTTTTTTCTACAAAATGCTTCTAAAGTCTTTGACAAAAAGCGCTTGTTTTGAGAAATTTCAAGAGGTGAGAAGGCGAGTTGTAAAAATTATTCGATTTGACCCCTTTCTTCTACAGAAACCTCTTTAACCTGTACAGTTACAGGTTAAAGAGTTACAGTTACAGAAACCTGTAAATAGAAAAAAGCTAGAACACAAAACGCTAGAAGTAGCAGAAAAAAAAATCGTCGCATCGTTTTGCTCTATCTTTCTCTTTTAAGAATTTACTTGCGAATTTGCATATCAGATCAAAATTTGTTTTAAAATACCAACAATTAAAACAATTAAAACACTTAACACTTTTTATTTTTAGCGATGCAAAGTTTCTTTGGAGGAAACTCGCTAATAAAAGAAAATGAGCAAGGGATATCAACACATAGTACTCAAGCTAATAAAGTGTAATAATAAAGTAAACGAAGAAAGAAAGAACAAAAAAAAACCCACTCTTGGTTGAAGCCATTCCAGAAGTCGAATTGAGTTGATCGGGCGAGAAGATCAAGATGATTTTTCCCCAACTTTGCGCTTCCTTTTATTTGATCGTTAAATTCAAATTTGAGAGTATGCAAAATCACCGTACCCCACGTTCTGCGCTTGCTAAAGTGCGCCCTTTTGCTTATTGCGTTCTTTTCATTCGCGGGAGTGGGACAAATGCAGCCTTTGTTTTGCGCACCCGGACATTTGCGCACCTTTTTTTCCGCACCTTGCCCATTAGCGCACCTTTTTTCGGGTTTTAAAAAGCTAATACATATTAACCTAAAGCTCTAAAAAGCTAATATTAACCAATTTCTATGCCAAAAGTTGTTTTTCTAGGTAATTTTAGGGCGTAGAATCGAAATTTTGACATATCAGAGCTTGTGGAAACAAACGGACGGAGTTATACAAAGAGAAAAATCGACAATTTTCTGTAATTTGATCTAGCCGTTTTGTTTTGATCTAGCGTCTTTCAAATTGGTTCCACACGCTCTGATATGTCAAAATTTCGATTCTACGCCCTAAAATTACCTAGAAAAACAACTTTTGGCATAGAAATTGGTTAATATTAGCTTTTTTAAAACGCAAAAAAAGGTGCGCTAATGGGCAAGGTGCGGAAAAAAGGTGCGCAAATGTCCGGGTGCGCAAAAAAAAGGTCGCATTTGTCCCACTCCCTCATTCGCACAATTTCTTCCCTGTTCAAGCCTCGTTTTTTTAGCCATTACATCAGTTCCCATCCATTTGTATTTCTTATTTGTTTATGGATCAAAGCTGACGCTGAATGCTCCATAATTGTGTGGTACCGGATGATCCTGATGTCAAAAAGCCGGCGTTCATCTAACTGAATTTTGGAATTCTAGAAGATGACGAATATCCGAAATTTTTCGAAAAATGGAGGATTGTTTGGATGATATGGTTTTAAAGTTGATAGAAAACACGAATACATTGAAAATTAGTGCATCAAATGCATCAGGTGCATTTAGCTGGAGGAAACAATTCATTTCACTGATTTGCCTGGGCAAATCAGTTTGTCTCATCAGAGATTTTTCTGTTGTGAAGCTTTCTTTACAACAGACAAATGAACTAGTGATTGCAGTCGAAATGGGAAATAGTTACAGGGAATTTTTGTAAAAAGAGCTTTCTCTGTTCCTCTAAAATCATTCGTTTTTCGAAAACTTGCCAACTTTCTCGACTACCGTAATCCTGTCTCTAGCTTTCATCCAATCTTTCTACATTTAGTCTGATTCCGTGAGGGTTAACAAAGGATATCGAAGATCCAAAAAGGAAATTGATTTGATGAAAACTAGAGACAAGATGATCACGGTAGCTCTTGAAGGTTGAAACGTTTTAGAAAACGTGTTACACAAGCGAATCATTCTGGTGAAAAGCGTGGATTTGATTAAATGTGTTGCTGATATAATATGCAAACCCCTTTTCTATTTAGATGTTCTTGACGTTGAGCGTCACATTCTTCAAGAAAGTATAATGAAAAGAGATCTGCATAAAAGAAACTTTGGATGCGAAAAGCGGTAAGATTTGCGTAAAGGGGAATAGTTTAGGCCGCAACAAATTTGGTAAAGAATACTTTTCTATGAATATAAAATTTTGAAAATATTGTAGACTTATTTACCAACCTAATATTACTGTACTAGGTATGCGCTTTACTGGCTCTGTACTACGTGGTTCTGGGTAAAGTAATCGACCTGCTACTGTAGTGGAGTAGTCACTATTAGAGTCTAATTTGAACCTAACGCTTTTTTTGTATTTCACGACAATTTTTTAAGTGTACTCCCATTTTTAGTCAAGTTCTTTATCAATCACTTTATTTAAAAAAGGTGACAACACATGAAAGCTAGATAAAAATATAGGTAGATAGGTGAAAATAAAAAAGAACAATAAATTATTGAGCCCAACAAAATTTGGGCAGCGGCACAAAAACTATTAGATGTTCTCGATGTCGATTTCTTCTCCATTCTCGTCGTTGACAGCCGTGATTTGCTTGTTGAGGCGCTCCGCGTTTTGCTGTGCCATCTGAGAGGTCTTTGCTCCATCAAACTAAAAAAATGATAAATTGTCTAGCAAGTTCCGAAAGTAAGCAACGCAACTAGTTAGAAGTACAAACCTTGATCTCATCGTCGTCGTCGTCATCGTCGTCGTCATCTTCAGTCTCTTCTTCGGCCTCCTTCAACCAATTGATCACTTTCTCACAAGCGGCAATGATCGCCTTTGACTCGGTTTTCGAGACAAACTTTGAAGTTGGCTAAATCAGGCTTTTATTTAAGAATAGAAAAAAGCCGACTTGTACCTTTCAGCCCATTTCAGGATTGAGTCCTCATCACAAATGTCAGTATCGTAGAGTCCCTTGATGATGTGCGGTGCACGGACAAGAAGAACGTCCTTGAACTTGGTGACCACCTGTTCGATTCCTCCAAGCAAGTAACGCTGAGCCTAAAGAAAATAGATTTTTTAGACAATTTAAATCAATCCATACCTTCTCATCATTGGCCGTAAATTGCAAGAGACATTTCTTGTACTTCTCGATTTGCTTTTCGGCAACAATTTGTTCATTGAATAGCACGTTAGCCAAGAGTAGAGTCGCCTTCTGCTTCAGCTCGAGTCTCCGGCTTCATTGCGAAGTGCCTAAATATAAAAGTTTAAAATGCACATTTACCAATTTTAAATTAATAGCTAAGTAATTGGGTACCTTTCCATCGCCGATCTCGTTTTTCTTCTTCATGTCCTGGAAGTAGGTGTACAGCATCTCGAGACGTTCCTCAATCGATTTGTCCAGATCGGCCGAAATGACAAGTTTGTTGATGCCGGATGTAAGTTTCTCCGACTCGACCTCTGGAGCCCAATCTTCGTCCTCCTCATCAGCGATTTGAACCTCATCTCCAGACGAAGAGTCTTGCTAAAACTTTGCATTAGTAGGACATAAAAATTTGAGCGTTTGCGATTTAAAGTTTAAAAGCTATTTCTCTCGGTAACTAAATAAAGTGTTACCTTATTTTCATTGTTCTCGTCCTGAGCATCTGTTCCATTGGTGCCGTTTGTCTTGCTTGGCTTCTTCTCCTTGACCACTGAAAAGTCCACCTCAATCTTGGGCGGATTCTTGACAATGAACGTAGCGAGACGATGACGTTGATCAATGATGTACATGTGACCACAAGCCTTGCATTTCGAGTTGATTTGCTGCTTGCGTACAGTCTAAATTTAAAAATATTTCAGAATATAAAACACAAACTTACAAGTAAAGTCTCAGGATTTTCGCAAGCCGGACAAAGCACGAATTTCTTGATAAAGCCGTCTAAGATGTCTTGAAGCTTGGCCGCATCGTGTTCTCCGTTGACGATGTAGCGTTCATTCTTCTGGTCGACTTGCGTCTGCGCTCCGAGCTCACAACCGAAGTATTTTGTTGGATCTAAAATCAAATAATGATATCTTTTAACTAATGAAATAATATCCTTTTAACCGGGTCTTGTTTAACCAAGGTTTAAACAAAAAAGTTAAACTCACAAGTAGGAGGACGCTCGAGAGCCTTGGCGATCTCGACCATATTAGAAATGACGGTTTTAATGCCATTTCCCTTCCCCTCGACCTTGGCTGAAATTTATTCTATTAGAAAGAGAACAAAAAACAAAACATAGGTAAGTAGTCAATTTTTGGGAACAAGCCAAAACAAATTTTAATACGAAATACAGACACAAAATTTGAAACCTTGGATACGCGGCATCTTGTAACGGTAGAATGGATCGGTGATGGAGCGGTTCACGTTGAGAGCCATCTTTTAGGATAGGTATAAATTCTTCTAAAGGCAAATGATTAAAAGTGAGCATAAGAGACCGCCAACCTTTGTCAAAAAAATTGTAGGTTTTTGTAGAATTCACAGTGCATGCGCAACTGGAATTGTTGATGCAGGGAAATAAAAAGCTTGTAGCCTTCAGTTTCTTCCTTTTTCTCGACAACCGCCCTGAAGAGAGAAAAAAATTTATACAGAATGTAAAATCTTAAAGGTTTAACGTCAGTTATAATGAAACGAACCCTGATCAGAAAAGCGACTATGCATGCAACGAAACGTTGAAAATGAAAGGTCCAACTTTTTCTCAGTCAAAGGCTGTCAAAATAAAATGATAATTGTTGTATTCTAATCTTTTTAACTTTACTTTTCAACGTTTTTAGATTTAAAAAATCTTACACTAAAAATCTTAAACTTACAAACTGCCCAATTTAAATCAAAAAGCATAAAATGACCTTCTTGAGGGTTGTCAATCATAAAATTCCTGAGGACGGTGATCCTTTCTTTTGGGCTGATGAACATGCACAGTCGGTGCACTCCGGTTTTCTCAATGTAGAGTTAACCTGAAAATGAAATCTTAATCAAATCCAGAGAATTTGAAACGAAAAATGGGGAAAGCTATTGCCACGCGAAAAATCGAAGGAAACGTGTGGAAATTGTTGGCCAGAAGCAACGTCATTTCGTTAAGTGGGGAAAAGTGAAAGAAATAGGGGTCGGGATGGACGACCAATCGGAAATGAGCCGCCCGTTGCAATCGATCGCCACCATAGCACAGCAATTCCACGCGGGACCACGCAAAACTAGAAAGCCACAAAGCAAAACCAGAAAGAAATGAAAGAAATTGAGTGAAGGGTGGCAAAATATGGCGTGAAATTGTCAGGAGAAAAACGATAACGATAGCCGTTGGCATTTCTGGGTCCGATTTGTGCAAGAGCATCAAAAATTTCAAAAAACGGGCAAAAGGGGCAAAAGGGGATTCAAAAAGAAACCTATAAAATGCGAAGAAAGACAAATTGATTTTTGTCAACTGAAAATTTCCCTCGCGGCGCTTCTATTTATGCAATTTTTTTCTCATTTAAAGATGTTCTGCTAAACAATTGAATGAAAGATTTTACAAAAATTTTTAGTAAATAAAAAACTTAAATAAGAGTTTTTGAACTGAACTGAAAACTTTGTTCTCATTTTATAGATTTACTAACAATATCAATGGATAATAAAAACAAAAACGGCAGTCTCTAAAGTAGATCAGCCATCAGCCTTTTAGAAAGCCAATCAGACCACAAAGCAGCGAACAAGGATGAGAAATTTCTAGTTTCACAAAAAGCTACATATAAGGATTTAGCAAAAGAGAGTTTCTATAAAAGTTTCACACCGTATTTCAATATTGATTCACGAAAAGGGAAACGGGGGTTGGGTGGAGAAAACTATCGTCGTGGGAAGGGGGGGAGCCGGTTTTCCGTTCAGAGCAGTGAGTGGGATGAAAAAAAGGAGAAAAAGGAGAAAAAGGGATCGGTGCGGGGAATGAAAAAGGACGGAAAAACGACGACGATGACAAGAAGGGAGAAGAAAATGAGAATAGACGAGAATGGAGAATGGTGTCGAGTGGATTGAAAGAGCCGTTTTTGAAGGGGAAAGGGGGCGGTGAGAAGAAGTGGACTGCTAAAGGGGAAAACATTGGGGAAGTTTGGTGTCATAATCTTCGTTTTGATACTTGAAAGGGTTGAAAGTCAATTAATAGAGATATCAGTATAGTACTCAATACAGTACAGTTTCTTCTTCCTTTAGAAGAAAGGAAGAAGGAACTTTACTTTACCTTCTTCCTCAATAAGGTCCAGTTTCTTCTTTCAACACTATTTCTAAAAGTTCTAACATTTACTGTAATGAAATGATGTCAATTTAATGATTGTAAATTCTGAGGTAATCTTTAAAAGTCTGAACGGATCTGTACCGTATTCCTCGTTTAAATCCTTATCTCATTTTGATTCACCAACAAAAAAACAGCGACGAAATTGGCACCAATGACCAGCCTAGGTACATAACGGTTAGCCTAGCCGTAAACATAACAACTTGCTCATCAAATTGAATGTCTTAGCAAAGTTTTTTGGAGAAGCTCTCACCCTAAAGCATAAGATGGTTCAGTACAAGAAGCAACACTTCTGTAACGTAAACAACATACCGTAAATACTGTAATAGTATCCCACCCCCTTCGTACAGTCGCGTAGTCGCAAAAGTTTTTTGGTATTTCATTGTTTTTCAAAGCACTCGTACTTCCAAAAAATACGTCTTTAGTATCAAAAAATAGCCCTGAGTTTCAGCTATTTTTTGATACCTAAGCGCGCATTGTAGCATAAACCAGTGTCGAGAAAAATGCGTCCAAAGCTAGACTACGCAACGCTCCGCACCGTCATTATGGGGGGGCGTCATTAAAGCAACACTTCTGCTAGATCAAAAAGAACTTCGGATCTAAAAATGACAAGATCTAGAGCTCTTAGATTGAATATCAAAACTTTATCGAAAAAGGATTCCCCAGAATGAATGTGGGTGACTGAGCACATCCCTTTACCCCAATGAAAGAACCCTTCCATCTCTTCCATCCCATCACATCCCTACCCCTCCCTCCATTTCTCCTCTCACACCCATCAGCTTCTCCCATAATTGGATGCACACCGGACACAGCTCTTCTCTGTCTTTTTTCCTATCGTCTAAAAAAGTGAGGCACTCGTCAACCCCCGCATCCAAGCCATTCATATTTCTCCATCGAGCGATGAAGCGATGTCAGGAATAGGAATGATAGATAGATTGAGTTCTGGAAGGGTTTTAATTGTTTGGGGATAAAGAATGGACTATTGATCACCAAAATATAAAGTATAAAGCTGTATACTGAGCTCGTTTAGATCAAAGAAGAAACTTTAGTGTTTTTTTTGTTTATAATTGCAGTTTCTGTTTAACGGTTTGGATTCATAACAAGTTTAACTAATGGTTTCAAATTGAATAACAGAATTTGTGCAGCTTGCTCGTTAATATACAAATTTGATCTTTGATTTCTTACTTTATCAGTGAATTTCAGTAGATTTTCCCAAATTTGTCCCAAATTTGATATACAGGGTGGCTGACAATTACGTGCGCGCAGCATCAGCATCATAGTTTTAAACAATGTATAAAGCATTACTACTCATCTTTTTGTGTTTTAATATTCTTTTTATCGTGGTCTAATAATTTTTTGTTAAAAAAGTTGTTTTCTAGGTCATGACAAAGACGTGCGCTAGTCGGGACGCAATCGCACAGCTGGCGACGAGTGGCATGAAGAACTCGTCGATCGCATCGAGGCTTGGGGTGGCTCTGAGGACCGTCCAGAAGATCGTAAAGCAATGGAAAGATGAGGGGCATGTTCAGTCCAAGCCCGGAAGAGGACCAAAGAGGACCGTTAACACCCGAAAGATGCGTGGGATCATCAAGAGGAGGATCGAGCGAAAAGACGATCGTAGTTTGAACAAGATGGCAAAACAGCTTCAAATTTCGCGTTTCTCGGTTCAATCGATAGTAAAAAATGAGCTCGGACTTCGAAGTTATCGACTGTTAAACGGGCAAGTGCTCACCGATCAAGCCAAGGAAAACCGGAAGGAGAAATGCAAGAAATTGCGAGCTTTTTTCAAGGTGCGGCGCATTGACGATGTTCTTTGGTCAGATGAGAAGATTTTCACCTTGGAAGTGGCTAAAAACTCACAAAATCACCGTCAACTTCTCAGTCCAGCTCTCAAGAGCACTCGTAAACGAAAAGTCGCTACAAAAGGTCTGTTTCCAAAAAGTTTGATGGTTTGGGGTGGCATCAGTGCTTCGGGCAAGACCCCGTTGGTTTTTATCGATAAAAATGTGAAGATTAACGCAAAAGTCTATCAAAAAGAGATTCTCGAGAAAGCTGTGGTGCCATGGAAGAGGAGCCATCCCAATTTGACCCTTCAACAAGATTGGGCGCCGGCCCACGGAGCCAAAACAACAATTCGCTTTCTCGAAACCAAAATTGGCTCTTTTTTGACGAAGGATCAATGGCCTGCAAACAGCCCGGATCTCAATCCGTTGGACTTTTCGGTTTGGGGTTTTATGGAAGAACAATTGAGAAATAGAAAAATCACCAATTTGAATGATTTACGTCGAGAATTGATCAAAATCTGGAACGACTTAGATGCAAATTATCTCCGCCGCACCGTCGATTCTGTAAAGAAGCAAATTGAAGCCTGTATCAAAGCGGATGGAGGCCACTTCAAAAATTTCTTGTGATTATTAAATGCTTTTGTTACAACTATTATATAAATAAAGATTTTTACATTTTCTTTGAAAGAAAATTAAATTATGGCGTTTTCTTTGGCGCACGTAATTATCAGCCACCCTGTAGTTTTGAGCTAGAATGAATAAATATAAACCTAATAAGGTAATAAATATAAAGCCATCTATACTATTTTCCTTTTTGTTTATATCTAACTAAAGATACGCTGAGGGAATTTCCATTTATCATATTTTAGTTGAAAGGGCAAAGTACCTAAATAACAAAAACTATTCCACTAGTCTATTTTTGAATTCAACACTAGAATTCAAAGTCCAAAAACGCAAATAGTGACTATTTTAAGCTTTCCCAGCTCAATAATCCAATAAAGACAATAAAAGAATAAAAACAAAAAACAAAACGAAGCTCTTCTCTTCAACCAAGCTCAACCAAGCTCAACCATTTCACAACAGCTCAATAACTCGTTTCGAAGAGTTCATTCGTTCAATCCATTCGTTCAATCCATTCGTTCAATCCATTCGTTCAGTTCATTCGTTCAGTTCATTCGTTCAGTTCATTCGTTCAGTTCATTCGTTTCCTGTCAGAGAATTTCTCACCCCATTTTTTTCAGATAATTATGGAAATTCCCATCTCCTAATTGGAAGTCACACAAATTGAAAAGTAATTTGATTTGAGAAGAAAAGAGAAGAATCATGCAGCAAAAAATTCT